CTCCCGTTGTTGTGGTGTGAATTCTGGAGGTGCTTCACGGCAGAAAGCAGTCAGTTCTTCTCGCAGAAAAGCATGGACGCCTGTTAGGCTGAGGTGGGTAAGTCGTGGGCAATGGTTGAGTAGTTGATGAATACCCTGCAACTGGAGTTAGCCCAGCCGAGTTCATATGCCTTCAAAGCAATAAAACTTACATATGTGCTCAAGTTGACGCAATAGCTTAGATGCACCCGTTCTAGGGAGCTGACCAATGGGTGTTGTGGGATCCGTGGTTTCGCTAAAGCCAGGATACTGCGATCTGTTATCGCTTGGCATTTAACCAGGCCTATTCTCCGCAGCTTTGGCAGCGTTGCTAGTTGTTGCACGCTGGCGTCGGTTAACCTGTTGCAGCAAGCTAAATCTATGTACCGGATTCGGTTACATGACTTGACTAGCTGTATCACTGCATTATCGGTGATGTTCGAACAATGTCCCAAGTGGACATAATGTATATTCCTGCCCAACTTGCATATGGCCTGAACCGAGCGGTCGGTGATAAATCTGCACTTTGCGAGAACTAGATTTCTTAACCTCGGGGATGAATTGATAATCCTTTCCACTGCGTCATCTCTCACATTCTCGCAAGCTGTCAAATCTAGGATTCGAAGACTGTCGAAGATTATTCCTTCTGGCAAATCGAGAAAGGCCTGCTCGGTAATATCCGCGCAATGCGCGAGACGCAACTCACGGAGGAACCGAAGTGTACAGAGTAGGTTTGTCACGGTAAAGTTCGTGATGAGACGACAACCATGCAGATCAATTTCAAGTATGGAGGGGCAATTATCCGCGAACGCTCGAATCGCTCGATCGGTGACTTGCATAACGCCGTTAAGTTTTAACTGGAGCAGGGTCAGTATTTGGCCGTTTTAAGGGTCGTGACTCTCGAAGACAATAGGTAGGACTCACTCTTTTGAGCTGACGGCAATTTTCTGCAAGAGCCACCAATGCATCGTCAGTAATTTTGACACAGCCAGTTATGTTCAGCCCTTGCAGCCGGGGACAGTTCCTAGCAACAATAAACAGCGTGTGGTCCGTAAGGCTCTTGAGTTCGGACACGTCGAGCGCCTGAAGATGGCCGTTCCCGTTAACGAGATCGGAGACTCCGGTATCCGTCAACATCGAGCAGTTAGTCAACGTCAATCTCTCAATTCGTTTGCACTGGGCAAACGAGATAATCGTTCCATCATTGACCCTGGTGCTCAGGGACGAGAGATTCAACCGCTTCACCATATCATAGTACGGAAAATAGCTGCCCTGAGTAGTGATGGCGCCCGCCACTCTTTTTAGGTTCTCCCAAGTATTACACGACGGTCGATGCCAGAGGATTGCCACACAATTCGTTGCCCATCTTTGGCAAACCATCATGCAATTCAGCATGTCCGTAGGAGAGTTGAGCTTCGCAAAGATCGCGATCAAGAGCTCCGGAGGCAGCCGAGAGATAGGTGGTAGCACGATATCCTGGCCGGCATCCACCCGAAGGTCCCGTAGGGTTCCTACTCCGACTGACGATTGTGAATCATTGGGCTGGTTAAAGAAGTCCGTGTCATCGTCGATAACTCTTTCGGGTGAGGTGGACGAGGAGGATTCAGAAGCCGCCCCGAGAGATTGCCGCAAGTGACCCCGTGAACGAAACATTCTCATAGACGCGAGGTGTTGGCGATGCAGGAAACAAAAAAGACCGTATTCTCTCCCCTTATATTCAAAAATAGGTCGTAGGTATGGTACGAAGAGGACTCTGAAGCGGCCGGTTTCACAATGAGCGAAGGAATCGCTGGGGGCGTGACAGAAACACGGTGTTAGCAGCAAAAAGCTTGCTTAGGGTGGCGGTTGTATAACGAGTGCTGTCCGTGAGCTCGGTGTAGAAAGGTAGGCGCCGTCTCGAGCCTTTTGTGACGACAGGGCGTGTCAAGCGCGGCTGGGGTCGTACAGTCAGGGAGGGAAGTGCCTGGAGGGATGGCTGGGAGGATTTGCGGCGGAAGGAAAGACGCGAATAAGCTATCAGCAATGACGGAGCGCGAGGATAGCGTGCTGCATCGAATGGGATGCCTGCGAAGGTGGTTGGATTTCAAGCGCGTTTCATATTTTCAAAGGTCCGGTCCAGCGCAAGAGGCGGCGGCACCTGCAGCGCATCGCCTGGTTCAAATACGTAACTAGCTAGCTATGTGGGCAAACTGGACTTGGGATGCAGGGCCCTAGCAGGCCAAAATACCATCTCAAGCAATCGAAGACAAGCAGCCAATTTCACGGTATTCAAGAGAGTCCAAGCGAGAGGTGAGGATAGTGATGGTGCTCAGCATGACGGGTGATGTTCCTGGGCTGTCATGTGGGGGAGATTCTTTGATGTCACTCCCCTCGCTGGTCTGCCCCATCTGCCATTTAACTATCGCCTGGCATGCTGCAGGTGCATGTGATGGCCGTTTTGATCTTTCAACCACAACTCATTTCTGGCCAAGTTGATATTCAAAACACATCTAGATTCATCATTGCTGTGACCTATAAAATATCGTTTATAGCATACATGGTATATTGTGCCAAAACAAACCCAGCCTTTAGTAAACAACAGACGAACGTGCACAGTGGGTATACATAGACTTGTCGCCGTCAAAACATTCAACAAATAGCAGTAATATAGCCAAGCTGTTTCCGCTCTATCTTACGAGAGTACGGTCGGCCCCCTTGGCCCACTCGCGGAGCACATTCTTCTTGACTTTCCCTGTGCTTGTCTTGGGCAGCTCAGCGAGAACCTCGACTTCCCTGGGAACCATGAACCGGCTGATCCCGCTGGTTTGTTTCGCCCATTCGATCACATCTTCGCCTTTGAGTGTTTTGCCGGGCTGGACGGTGATGAATGCCTTGGGGCGTTCTCCCCAGTGGGAATCCGCCACAGCGACGATTCCAACCTCAAGGATATCCGGATGGGTGGCAAGCATTGCCTCAAGTGCCACCGAGGAGATATTCTCACCGCCTAACATCGGATTTGTGTTAGCAAATCTTATTCTTAGCAGAACATATGAAAAAATTTTCATCTTACCGCTAATGATAATATCCTTCGCCCGGTCTAGGATCTGAATTGCCCCGTCAGGATGGCACACTGCTAGATCCCCAGAGTGTAACACTCCTCCTGCAAAGAGCTTCTTTGTCGCTTCAGGATCCTTATAGTAGCCTCTGGCACATATGTTTCCAACGAATACGATTTCCCCAATTTCTTTGCCATTGCGCTCCACGTCGATAACGGTGCCTTCCGGAACTTCGGTTTTTATCACTCTCACAGGAAGACTGGTGACAAAACCGTGACCCTGTCTCGCCATCTTCTGATATTTGTCCTTCGCTGGCAGATTATCCCACTCTGGCATGTAGTAGCCTTTCGTGATAGGGCCATACGTCTCAGTCATTCCGTAGACATGGACTGGATGAAGGTTTAGTGATAACATCTGCTCGAAAAGATGGGGCGTTGGTGGGCTGGCAGCCACGGTAACTCGGACGGGAGATGGAAGTCTCTCCGCTTCTTTAGAGTTGCAGAGGATCGTGTTCACGGTAGGGGCGGCATTGAAATGAGTAATCTTCTCCTCTTTCAGCAATCGCCAAATTTGGGAATAGTCAATTTTCCTGAGGCAGTAATGAGTGCCGCGCACAGCTGTAATAGCCCAAGGGAACGTCCAGCCTAAAGGCAAAGGTTAATACCGGGAGTCCGTAATGCAGAAGACAACCATCTAAGATGCGTACCCATGGCGTGGAACATTGGAAGCGTCCACAAATAGCGGCAGCGGCCTTGGTGATAATTCAGCCCAGACTCAATAATATTCGCGAGCGCTGCTAAATAGCATCCACGATGAATATACTCAACTCCCTTTGGTCTCGCTGTTGTCCCACTGGTGTACGCTAAAGCGATGAGCGACTCTTCATCCGCAGCGTGGGTTTCCAATCCATTCCACCCATGATTGCCCAACTGCGAATCATATTGAAGCCCTTCTAGAACCGACGCATCAAAAGGACCGCTAAGTTCACCCTCCGTGGCGTCGGTATCGGTATCAATGACAACGGGAAAATCCGGTCGGGTTTTTCGGAACTCATCCAGCAGATGTACATATTCCTGATCAACGATAATTATATCGACTTCGGAATGAGTAAATATATATGCGATATCCTCCGATTTTAATCTATAATTGACCGCTATTGGTCAAGTAGTCTGTCAGTAGCCGTAATGAATGATTATAATTCTCCAGCAGGTGAAGTTACCGACGTTCACCGCGCCAGCGGCAGCAATCCCATATATCGATTCCAGGAACGCAGGGGTATTTGGACACAGAATGCCCACCCTTTTATATCCATGCTTCTTGATATAATATGCCAATCCTCTTGCCCGGTCGGCAGTCTCAATGTATGATCTCCTCAGAACCTTATTGTTCACGGTGACATGGTAGATGGCTTCGGCCTACGGAGTTGTTCCCAGTCAGCGTTCGTCCGATGCGAAAAGGGTGAGTAATAGATCGATTTTCAAAATCGTGCACTTACATCAGGCTCGATAGCAGCGGCACGAGGGAGAAAAGAAGTTGGAGAGAGCGTGTGTTTGTTGAAATTATGTTGGCTCTCCGGGGATCGGTGGAGAAGCTGTGCAGTTAAACTCCGCAACCGTGACGCCGGACCCGACATGTTGAAAAGCAGCGTTTTACAGGGAGATTACAGCAAAGGAAAAGGGTGAATGCAAGCGACGGTTTTGAGCAAGGTTCTTAGAAAAGAGGCACGGGGGCGTATTTATACATGTGTGTCTACTGATTATCCGCGGTTGTGCTGCTCCAAACTTCCCCGAAAATAATCCGACCTGATTGAGAGGATCCAAACCTTTCCACTCCGCCCACACCTTTTCCCCACACCCATTTGTCCGAGAGACCACAACCGGCTACAAAAAAAAAGGGATCATAGATGGAGGAAGCGGTTATGTGTGCCGATATTAAGCGTATGTGTTTGAGCTTGCTTGGAAAGATCATCTTGATTAAGGGGCCTGGAGCAACGGAGTGGTAGAGAGCTATGAACTAGCCTTATCCCTAACGACGCCATAATGTAGAAATCAATTTTGTTTTTTTAATTTCCTTACTCCCATCACGATGTTCCCTGAGTCATAAAAGGGCCTTCCTGATGGTAGAATGTGTACACATCGATCGGATCGCCGTCCCAATTCGCTCGTCAATGCCCACATTGCACCGAAAATTCGAAACCACAAATCCGCCAAGATATTCTAACAACCGTAAGAAGCAAGCTGCTCCTTTGTCTGTTGAGACACAGAGGCGGTTCTCTGGGCCTGTGCAAGCTGCCTGCGGGTGGCCTTCTTGCGCTCGTAGTATGCAGAGCTCTTGGCCTTGCGTCTTTCCTCGAGTCTGTAATTGAAAAGATAGCCCAGTTAGCAAGATCGAACCAGATCACTAACAGTCGTATCCTTGGGTTTACTAACCTAGCAACGACATCCTGGTATTTCCAGCCAACCTCGTGACTCAAACGTCCAACTGTGCAGTATTTGCGGCCCGGCTTCAATCTGAGGATTCGGAGAGCTTGAGGGACAACAACTCTCTTCTTCTTGTCATATGGTGGTGGGACACCCTCGAAGACCTTTAGTCTCTCCATGGCAGCGGCACCACGGGGAGTCTTGTGTGGGATCATGCCTCGGACGGCCTTGTAGAAAATCCGGGATGGAGCGCGGAAGTGAAATGGGCCTATCAAACCCAGGTTTAGTACATGCATCTTTTTCTTCATAACTCGGGCGCTCTAAGGTCTTACCTCCTCGGGTCGGGTTGAAACGAGTGATCTTGCGGAGGTAGGCATGGTACTTCACTATATTTCCGGTTTGAGTCAGTCGCGAATTCCCCAAAACGCATTGTAACCCTTCGACTCCTTCACAATCAAATGCAGAGTTGTATATGTCACAGACAAGGAAAAAGGACTGATCATACGCTTGGCACGGAAGAATTCGCCAGAGATATTGAGAGCTTCGCAGCGCACAACGACGATCTTCTGGCCATTGAGAAGCTGCTTCGCAACGGTGCTGGCAAGGCGACCAAGAAGGTGCCCCTTGCCGTCAATGACGACCTATGGAGTCACGGCTCAGTCAGCGATGAGGCATAAGATAGCGGGAAACGATCCGGACGAGGGTAAACGCACCACAGGCTCGAAAGTGGACATCCTGCTCTGTCACCGATTCACGAGGCAAATATCCAGGGTAGACAGAAGAGCTCTGCTCTTGGATATACCGTGTGCTGTGAGTTGTCGAAGTTAGTGGTCGTTGTGGTTCAAACCACGAGGTCGGATCGTTCTCCGTATTGAGCTTAAGCGAGGCCTAGTTTGTGTGAATTCGATAGCCCTAAGTTGTCCAATCAGAGGAATCACATCACGTGACCCGTTATTGACTTTTCTTCTTTCCGTTCCAACTACTCCGTAGAGAGAACGATTAAGCCTTTGCCTCTGGATACGATGTACTACTCTTCATGGATTGCTTGTGATCTTTGGCCTGGTTTTGTGTTCTGGCGGTCAAAATTATGAAAATAGGGTTGGAGATGGTGGCGTGAGATAATCTTTTACTGGAAAATAGGATGATGAGGCGGTGATACCTACAATACACATCAAAGTATTGGTCGCCTCAGCCCGGGCGTCTTCTCTCCGCTTATGGCGCGAGGAGATCTCTGCAGCATATGGTTCATTTGATAGGAGTAGATAGACAGTCTTGCACTTTCCCCAGCTCGCAGCTGACTGCCACTAGGAAAGACCATCCAAGCAGATCTGTTTTCAAGGCTGAAGTCGCTTGGGCTTCGGTGGAATAAGATTGTATTTCTTTCAGTCTGGCATCTATTTTCAAAGATACCCATACATACATTATTTTCATATTTTTTTCGGTCCTATTTTCTGCATGCAATAAGCCAACCTTTCCAATATGGTCCGCACGCGCTTCGTTTGCGTCTCGGATACCCACGGATATAGTACAGCTGATGCGGCTTTCAAGCTTCCCAAGGGGGATGTCCTGATTCATGCCGGCGATATTACCAATAGGGGAACGGAGAAGGAGCTTGACAAGTCTTTGAAGTGGATTATGGAAGCTGACTTTGAAGCGAAGATTATTATAGCTGGTGTGCAGTTCCCTGTCTGGCTTACGAATGTGGTAACAAGACTTTTACCTCAAAAGGCGCGATTTTACTAATGCGCGCTGGGATGTGAAGGGAACCACGATACTCTTCTCGATCCCAATCTCTCTCAGAATCAGAAGCTGTCTTGGGAAGAGAAGCCATGGCGGAGACTTGAAGGGTTGACTGAGTATACTTTTGCATCACAGTTCATTTATTTGAACCACGAAGCAAAAGAAATCCGATTAAGAAGCCCTCACGGCCCCAAGACCAGATTCAAGGTTTTCGGCTCGCCGTACTCACCAATACTCCCCGGTTGGGGGTTTGGATATCTTCCCGAACACGCCAAATCAATATGGGATGAAATACCATCGGACACAGATATTCTGATAACTCATACACCGCCGGCTGGACACCTTGATATTGCAAACGGGAAGTCAATTGGATGTCAAGCTCTTTGGCAGCGTCTTTGGGATGTACGACCCAGACTAGTTATCTGCGGTCATGTCCACGAAAGTCGAGGTTATCATCGGGTACGATGGCCCAGTGGGCCAAGCAAAGAGTGTGAAACGGTGTTTGGCGATTTACCAGCACGGCAAAGCAAAGAGCAGTCAACCATTGATCTATGTCGCAAGATAGAGAACCGACTTGATAATGATGGTTTAGCGAGACACGAGACGTGTATCGTCAACGCTGCCATCATGGCTACCAGCTGGCCGCATAAAGGAGGCAAGAAGTTTAATTCTCCAATTGTGGTGGATCTGGATTTACCTCAATTATGAGGGCGTCGAGTTTACGCTCCTACGATGCGTTCTGGTCTTTTTTCATTCTTTTGTGCGATACATTTTGAGGGTTGGGATTTGTCATAGCGTACCGGGCGGTCCGTTTGGTTTTGACGAAACATTCGTATGCAGGAGCGGATGTAGTCTCTTATGATTATTATTATTATTATCATCAGGCGATAATATTATGTACTCGACCATGTCAATCTCACAAACAGGTCGACTTTGGCCTTGCGGCCGCCGTACGCCTGAGCAGCCGGAAGCTCCGGCTACTCCAAAGGCTGTGCTGATAGTATTACAACTACCAGCTTGTGCAAAGGCATCACATCATATTTTAAGAGATTTTTTCTTTTTTCACGGTGCAACGTCTGCGTAACCCCCGATGCGTGGTTTCTTTCGAGAGAAATAGCGTAGTGCGAAGGTGTGATTTTCCTGTAGTTCTTGAGCTGAGGTCGATGGATCGAGCAGCCAGTCGACGTTGACAGCCGGAGATCATCAGCCACTACGTCGCCCGAATACCTACAATGCGGCTGCGCCCTTTTCGGCCAGCCGTCTTCAGGCGTGGCTCTAGCCTTGTCTCAGCCTGTTTCCCGTCCAATTTTTGGTGATTATTTTGTGCATGGAGAAATATTCACGTTCATTCCCGCCAAGTGTATTCCCAGATCGGCGAGAGGGGAGCAAGGCAGTGAAATGTCATCAGGCAAACGGATTTGGAGTCTTCTGATGTGATTCAATGCCTCAGTTCCGGATAATTGTCTTGGGTTCCGGGATGGGTACCTCAGGCAGGCGGGGGTTTGCTCGCGGACCCCCAGACGGATGGCTATGCGCTTTAACCTGTATGGATGTGTTGTATTCCGGAGATAAGCTACGGGTGTTGTTTATGCGAACATGGGTGAGATTCGTCTCCTCTTCTACCGACTTACCTCTCCTTTGCCCTTTTTGGGTCTTTCGATCCCAAGATGTGGGAATGTCAGCTCGGCCAGGAGAAGGGCATAGAGGTGGAACACTTTTCCCAGCCAACTAATGCACGGGAAAGCTTCCCCGTGTCTTGCCTTGGCTTGCCTTGTCCGATGCAAAGCTTTGATTCAGATGCGCACGTTTTCTTTTCGCATTTTAAGTTCTTACCCTTAAGTCCGGAACATTGCCGTTCGATATTGAACGAACTATCGCCTGAACGAGGGATTCCCGTATTCCATGCGAGTTGGGTTACTAGGATGAGCTTTTTCGCTAGAAACCTTTCTCCCTCTCCTTGCCCCTCCATCACGACGAGCTGGACAGATGATCGAGAAAAAAAAGGAAAAGCTTCTAATCCATGCACTTGTCCATGTCAGTCACGCCGTTTCGAAGGTTGTGATAACTTTTGCCCCTTGCAGCCAATGATCGCGGGAACCTGGGATTGCTTGGCTTGCTTATTGCGGTGCATCCTTCTTCGTTCCTTGCGGGTTGAGGTGTGTGATCTGACAGCTACAGAGAGGGAGTAAGAGGGTTAATCGACTGCTCGTAACCGCTGGAGAACGGGCCAGCCAATCGCGGCGCCGGGGCACGGGGGCAAGTCAGGGTTGCCGGCGGCTGCGTGGGAATAAGGAAACCCTGTTTCCCTTTGCGAGAAGGCATTTTCTACGGAGCTCGAGGAAGAGGTTCTCCGACTTTATCAAAAAATTTAATATATATAACACGGAGTATATACTCTGCGATGGCTGTGAAAGTGGCGTTTTTTTAACGCCTGAGGATAGGGAAACTCTCAACCTTTGCAGATACATGGTGAGGATACTCTGTGGGTTCGCTTGGACTTCCCGTGGAAAGAAGACTGGGGGATGAGAGTGCCTGAAAATAGAACAATGGAGGGCGGGGTAGTCAGATCGCTCTCAGCATCCAGCCGGGCGGGGGCCGGACGCCAGAACAGCCTGCAAACAGGAAACAGGACAAACAGCGTGATGGGGGTGCGTGTCGAGAGTCTCGCGAGGATCTTTTTCTCTTGGAAATGCAGTGGTGACACGACAAGGTCCACCGTCGGCGTTGAGCCAACCGGGTCGCTGCTTGACCTGTCGCCCTGTTGCTGAGGAGGAGGGTTTTTCACTCTCCTTTGGTTGGTTGTTGGTCTTTTGGGGGGTCGATGCAGGGAGGCCCATCGCGTCGCACGATTCTGATTTGAGCTTCATTTTCGGGAGAGCGTGGTGATTGGATCCAGATGACCCAAGAAGTTCTTCAGGCTTGCCCGTGCGCTCGACAACACAAAGTGTACGATCGCCTCGCCCTTGGGTCGTTGAGGCAAATGCGGCGAGATGCAAGTATTAGTACTCGCCATCCCACTGACTGGCAAAGGGGTTTTGGTGTACCGATACATGGCGGTCCGGGCTCCACCAGGCTTTTCCGTTGGCTTGAACCGGGTTGTGATGTCAGGTCGCAGAAATCCCCGTCCTGCCGCTGATCATTCGCTGGGCGTGTCGGACCAACTCGAGCCTTGGACAGCATTCTAGTCCATTCTGGTCCAAGCCTGGAAACTCTCGCCATGATTGGGGAAGCGGACGAGAGCGCAACTCAGACTGGTTCCATGGTTTCTCCGTAGTACCCCGCCGAGGAACACTGAGTATCGAATTTCCCATGGAAATGAACCCGTGTGAACCAACAGTCTAAGTCAACATCGCTGAAACTTGGAACAACTCGCCAACGTTATAATCTTCGACGTATCCCAGGTCAGAACACCGTTGTATGGCAGCAGCATCTTCGCCGATTTAAACCAAACCCCATAGTTCTCCTGCTTGGGCCCGAGTGTCGGAGAGGCAGTTTCACCGTAGCTGATGCTAAACCTCCTCGATCTGTAGCCGATCTCCTCCCATGAGCTTCTACAGTCCTATCATTCTGCTGCTGTTCATGTTCGGCCTGCTGTCAAGAAGTGAAACATCGAGCTGTTGACATGTTATGCTTGGTACTGCGAAGACGGAGCTCTGGCAGACTTCTCCGTCATCTGCTAGCTTCACAGCACCCTCGTGAGCCGTGCCGGGCGTCACTGTTGACTTTGACCCCGTTATCATCGTCGAATGAACGTGCAAAAGCCCACACACCAATCCATCGCAGCGACATTGCTTTCGATGAGGCATGGGGCAGCAGATCAGTAGCTCATCTTATCATCGCGCATCATCAGAGCCTGAAGAAAATGCATCCAAAACGTGGGCATCTTAATCGTATTCTGAACCGCTAAGTATAAGTAAATCGCAGTTGGGAAAAAGGTTCAGTATTTATTATGGGCTGCCCTTTTGTGGCTGTCCTCTTCTTTTACCAGCAGGAAGTCTTACTTCTTCTAGGCGCATGGAAAGGTAGTTGGCCGGTAACTTTTCTGTTATATCATTTCCTTCTCGAATTCCTCTGCCTTGTCGGCCTTGTTGCTTCTCATCCGCCTGAGCCCCCAACATCCGCCCGTGCTCATTATTTAGAATTATAAAATATAACTGCCAGGCCGGCCAGTGCAATCCATTGTCACTGTGACTTGACATTCGTCTTGCCGCCCTTCTTCACTCCTTCAAAACCAGCCGCCACTAACAAACCCAACCGAAAAAGCCTGTTTCCCCCCTCCCCTGTTGGACTGGACAACACTCTCTTTGAATTCCAAGGAGATATTCCCCTCGTCGATTTCTTTCTCTTCCACTTCCGCCGATTCGAATCTCTCCTTTCAGCGGATTCGATCACAGTAGCTCTCTCTCTATCTCTCTTTTTTTGCGAGCGGAGCTTTTCGAGGTCTCCTTGTTGTCTGTTGCTTGGTTAACGGCAGTCATCGTGGACCACACCGCCGAATGCAGATCCACCAGACAGCGACCCTAGCACAAGCAGCCAGTCATTCCACTCGCTCCCTGTCACGAAAGCCCAGAGACGCAGAGAGGGGACGACTAACAGGCTATCTGTCACGACGACATCACCAGTCTGATTAATTATTATTATTATTAACTCACCCATCCCTTTCCGTTTGCCCTCCTTCGATCCTCGAATCATAAGGACCAGCAGAGGGCTCCCTTCTGCCCCCTTTCGCTGATTAAAAATCGAAAGTCTTGCCTACGAATTCGAGAGTGGCTTCTCGAACATACGGCCGTCTCACTGCTGGCCACCTCAGCAGCATCTCCAGCAAGCGTGGCGCAGGGGGTCTCCTGCTCTCGCTCTTCCTCGCGCACCCGAGCCACTCATTCTCGCTCACCAGCATCCTCCTTCTTTTCTTCTTATTGAAAGGAGCCTTCGGGTGTAAAAAGATAAATATACGCCCACCCCGGACCTGGACGTCCCTTTTGCCCACCCCATCGGCCCATCGCTGGGTGGCGATTTTCCATTTGATCTTTTAATAAGCAGTGTTCTGTTCTCTGCCCCCTTCGTTTCTTGCAATTCAATTCTTGCCACTATATATTGTCCTTATTATCATCTCTTTCTCCTCAATTAACGGCAAGCGGAAAGGACTGCTAAGGCTTTGCAAGCGATACGTCCTATCCATTCTATCGATTGACTAATGATTCCACGACCAAGGCCATCTTGGACAATGGATCTCTATTGACAGCATCACACGCGCCGACGAGACCACAATTCAAACAACCGCTAACCCGAAAAGCAAACGAACGTCCAGTCAACTCCTATAACCCCCACTCCCCTTTTACCCCTAGCTTCTCATCACACGGATTATCCTCACGTATCCATCCAAGAAAATGACATCGCCTCTCCCCCCGGACCCTTATGCGGCCTTGGGCGTCTCTAAGGATGCCTCCACAGCCGAGATCAAAACCGCATATCGGAAACTCGTCCTGAAATGCCACCCCGACAAGGTTAAAGATGAGTCGCTCCGCAGTCAGAAGCAGGATGAGTTCCAACGAGTTCAGGAAGCGTACGAACTCCTTTCAGACGACACAAAGAGAGCCAAATATGATCAGAAGGCCCGCATGGCCGAAATGAGAAAAGAGGCGATGGAAAAGGGAGGCCCATCCGCGTCATTCGGACACCGCACTGCCGGGTATGACGTCCGAAACGGAAGAGTCTACGAAGAAAGAGTCCCGCGTTATTACGAGGAGGAGATGGCCTTTGCTGATGAGCAATGGTCGAGTTCGAGCAAATATGACGGGTATGAGAAACGGCAGACCACCAAGGATTCGGACGAAAAGAAGAAGAAGAGCAGATCGTCCGAGTCGAAACGCGAGCCGACAAAGACACGCGATGATCGCGCAGGCAGGTCAAGCCGGGCAAAGAACCGGGACAAAGAGCGTCGAAGAGAACTCTCCGACAAATATAGCCACACTGCTACGTATGATTCTGATTCAGAGGAATCATGCTGTTGCCCCAGAGACTTCCCTGAGCCAAAAATAAAGCGGGAAAGCCGCTCAAAGCACCCTAACCCTCGACCCAGAGAATATTCTGATCACTGGGAGTCGTCGAAACATGATTCCCTTCAAAACGATGCTCGTCGATACATCGAGCGGACCAGGAACGACGTGGCCGCCGAACGTGAGCGTCGTTCGTCGGGTTCGCCTTGGACCTTCTCTTCAGTCTTTCGCGACGCACATCATGTCGATAGTCCTCGCCGCTCCTCCGCGCGACCTCGTGCTTCACGCAACGGATCTGTTGACATAATCGAGCCTTCGCCTAAACGAACTCATTCTTCTCGGACAATTCCGAGCCTCACAACTGCTACGTCTGCTCCCCCCAACATAAAGATCCCTCCAACTCTGGGTATGTCTCCCCCGACACGATCATCTACGTATCATGTACGAGAAAAACGGGACCCACCTCCAATTCGCCGTGCTGAGACACTCCCACTAGGCGTCTCATCTCGCCATGGAGATCCAATCGTCACTAAATCATCGAAACTTAAAGACCTGTATGACTCTGGGTACTCGAGCTCAAGTCCGGGTACTCCGAAAATATCCCCACCAAAAAGCAGCAAGCACGTGGTTGTGGACGAAGATGATGACTTTCCACGACACCGAACCGTCTTGGTAGATCCCCCCTATCCTTCTCATCGGCGTACTCACAGTACATCTCCTCCTCAGCGCGAGCCCGTACCGTTCATGATGCGGCCACTACCAAAGTCAAAACGATCGAAATCGCGTGATATTCATGCGCGTCATGATTCCATCCCGAAGCTACGGACCAGTCGAGATGGGTTATTTGCCGAGATAACTGACGATTATTACCCACGATTCTCAGACGAGCGAGCCCGATACTCGCCCAAGATCCGACAAGAAGACAGTTACCACGAGATTTATCCGAGATCGTATAGATCTGATCCTCGCTCACATACCAGGAAAGAATCATGTGCTTATTAGTTTCATTCCTCTTTCGTCCCGGTTCTTCCATAAGAACCGGCGTATAGTCTTCACACAATTTGTTTTGCATCGTCACGATTTTTCTCGTGACATCACAGGGCGGTTTATACACCTTCCAAACCGTCTTCTCTTCGAGAAGTCTGCTTTTCTGACTTTATCGAGTGTATAATCTGAAACTCTACACTCGGGATAAATACTGAACTATCACTCCGCCTATTTTCGTGGACATAACAGTCGCTCAGATTTGATTCCATTTACGAGACATGTTGCTTTACTGATGATGACCCCATCGCTACGAATTTCTCCTTTCTTTTTTGTTTTATTTTTCTTCAGCTTTTTGTTGGTGACCTCGCCCATCTTTGCAGTGGTCTGCTAATCCAGTTTCATCATCAAGATCCAGCAGGACCGACCCCAACTTTGTGCATTTACTATCTGGAAGAGCATCACAACCAATTCATGTGGCAACACACTTAGATCTGCTTTTTTGGATTGTTTTTATTTTGTTTTCCCAATCCTTTCCGTCGGTATTTTTGCTCTTGCTCTCGGCCCTCTTTCCGCCTTTGCTTCCTTATTTTCATTGCCAGGAGCAGTGATTCTTGTTCGCAGTCGCCTGAAGCAAAAGAAAGAAAAATTAAGGGGAAAAAAAAAAAAATTAACTTAAAAAGAAAAACAAAAAAAAAAAATCCTGCGGCGACTCGACTTCGAAAGTTGTTCCTGGCAAGACAGAACCGGACTTACGGTGGAGGATCGGACTGGGTATCATATATGAGGGAGCATATGGTTTTCACTTTTTGGTTGGTTTCAGGGCTGTCCTTACGCAGCTTCGGTGTCTGTTGGATTTGTATGGAATTTTGATGGCCATTGGACGGGAGTATTTCCATTTTTATATAGTAGTGATAGTGGTTAGTGTGAGGTGATATTTTGAATGGATGATGTGCATTTAGTGTTCCACAATAGCCTCTACCCATGTCCTGCTGGTAGCAATGTTGATATTAAGTAGCGAGCAGCAGGATAACCTGGATCACCAGTCGCATCGGCCCTGATCAGAGGATGGGTTGGGCGGAGGCCTATATTATGCTCGATCACGCTTTACCAAAGCATCAAGCCAAGCCATCATGCAAAATTACCATATTTTTTAAAACGGTTTTCTCGATCTTTCACTTCCATGGGGCGGCCTGGGGACCCATCGCCTGCGGAATTAGAGTAAACCTTGTTATACCTTTCCGACCAAAAGCAGTTCTAACCCCGTCTACGGTGCCTAACAACTATAGGATAGTAACAATACGGAGTAGTTCTTGACATGATCGGATACTAAATCCAGCTCCGTTTCGTTCCTTGTATTTGGTCCAACCCCTATCACACTGAAACATAGTTATCGGTCCCCAAGGACTCGCTTTTGGGGCCTATAAGGGGTGTGAACCTCGCTGATAGCAGGCCGGATTGTAAGTTTCTAGGCTTTCTGGGAAGAAAATCTCTGCTCCATTTGGGATCCTATACTGGAATGTGTGGGTGGAGTGTATTCCATAGTTTCCTAGGTTATGGAATGAGATGGTTGGCATTGCTCTAATTTGTTTCAAGACAGGGTTTAGGGAGCTCAGGTGTGAGCAGGTAAGCAAGGTGCCTTTCGCTTCGAGGATGTTTCCTACTTTCTTGATTCTCTACAATAGTCAAGGAGAATATTATCATTGGATACAAGGTGATTTCCCCAACATCCAACTCCCTGGATGGGTGCAAAACAGCTAAAAGACAAGAACCAAGTAATCACCCTTGTTATGAGTTTCTGTCTCTAATTACAGATGCTTGAATGCTCTTGTGTGCTGCAACCGGGGGCACAGATCGGCGAGACAAGTTTCCTTGCAAAATTTTGCATGAGATATTGACCTGGTGACTCTTGCCTAGGCCAACCAATGTGAATGACGGATGAAGTCCTTTGAACAAAGGCAACAATACTCCGTAGCTACTTGGCTCTTGTGTTTAATCCCCACCTAACAGGCTTTTCAATGCTAGGGATTCTGTTGGGATGACAGGTCTTAGGGATGTGAAAATATTCCGAAGCAATACTCCATAGGGAATTGCCCGAGAAGAACGATGCAGATATCAGATATTACAGCACCATCAACAGATTTGAATAACGGCCACAGAAGCATCGCTGCTTTCTAGCTAGGGATTGTCTCCGGCTTGGGCGCCTTACGATAGTTGTGTGCGACAAAGAGAGATAAGAACATTGTCATCGCATTATATAGAGTGTATAGGGGGTAGCGAAAATCCTAGACAGCCGGCTAGAACGCGGTTCACATGGCCTTATTTCTGTATCTGAGCCAACATGTAATTTGGATGGCAAACCAGGGACTCGCCTGGAAGGATCGCGGCTGTATCAAGGTATGGTGGATGGCGATATTGCTCTTCTTTTGGGGCTTAATCTGACGTTGGGAATGGCTTCTACCCATCTGGCTGGATAATCTGTTCAATCTGAACACGCAAGTGCACTCCTTCTCCAACGAAATCGATGGTAAAGGGACCTGCCACGGGGTGTGGTGAGAGAAAGCTATCTCAGCGAATGTACTCCGTACAAGGTGCTCGCTTTTCCGGCACTGCGGCAAGATGAGAGCGTACAGAGCCCAAGGCTTTGAAAATTGAAGGCGCTAAATTATTTTCTGCCAAGACTGCTAACGGATTGATGGGAAGAAAACGGCCACAAAAGCGATTGTTGGGTTCTATAATTTTGTCAACGTGTTGCTCTTCCAGCGAGGAACTGTGAAAATTACATTTTCATTCCACTTCTAGCGCAGACCAAGTAGCCTGCTTCTGTTGGGGCTGTGAGTCTTCCTGCTAAGCTGGGGCTACGGAGATCTGTTTGATTTCAGCGAGCAAGCCTCTTCTGAATGATCAGGCGTTGGCA